GTATCAGAATAATAAGGCTTTTGGAAGGTGACTTTAGCCATTGATTTTAGCAGTTTATTTGGACCGGAAAGAGATTCCTGAAGTGTGGTTTGTTTTTTTTTTTCTTTCCTTAGGATGAGAAAGGGTCTGCACGGAGGTTCTTAGAATATCACATCACATACAGAATGGATTTCTGAATTAAAGCAGGTAGGTGTCTAGTCTGCCTTAAAACTTCTAGTTTTGAGACTGGGATGGTGACATTTCAAAATGTCACACTAAACCTGAGTAATATCTCTTGAGAGAGAGAGAAAGATGTGAAGTTTCAAATGCTCAGAAGTAGATTTCAGATTTCTGTTCTTCCAAGTCATGCTATCAAATTAGCTTGAGGAAGAAGAGTTTAAAATGAGAGAGATGTTTTCTTTCCTTCCCTTGCCTTTCATGTCTCTACGATTCAAGTAATTAAGTTCTTTTAACTGTGAAATGAAACACTAGTTTCTCTAAACAATAGACTAAAGAACACAAAAGAATATAAAGCTTCTTTCAAATACAGCTATGCAAACAGGTACATGAAGAGGAGTTGTGTGTAGGTCAGGTTTTTATACATATAAAATAATTAGTAATTATACAAAGTTTAAAGGTATAGGTTTCCACATGGTTTTAATAGTATTAATATGGATAAAAAACACTTAAGGTAGAGAGAGAGAGGCAGTCAAACACCATGTTAGGGTTGAAGGTTGGAGGAGCTTGACTTTACTGCACTTGAAACTGCCAAAATGCGTCAGATTTTAAAATAGCACTTTCCACTGAAGTTGTTTAAAGCCTTAATCCTTGCATCATTTCACTAATATAGGTCAACAGATACAATAAAATGAATACATTGTGGGAACAAATGTGTGATCTAGTTACTAATACACATGCATTATATTCTTATCTTAGCACTCACAGTAATTGTGAGTATTGTACGGTGGAAAGAGTAAAGCCGATACATGATATGGTTTGCATCTGCTAGAATTTGGAGGATCGCTTGCTAGACTTTGTCATGTTCATTTTGCAAGTTCACATGCACGTTTTAAAAACTACTAGAAGTTAGATCCTCTTTCAGAGAAAACCAGAAAAAAAAAATAATGTTGTTCACTAAACCTCTCCCTTCAGTGGGTGCCTTCTAGTGAAATGTATGCGGAGAGTACACGTGCAAAAGCTGATGATGTCTTCTTTCATACAGATAATGTATATAATATGTTGAGATTTTGTTGCTTAGGGTTAGTAGTGACCCAACTGCCATAAACAAGACAATTTGTAATTCAGCTAGACGGAGGCACTCACGAGTATTTTCATCGCTGCAGAATTAAAGATCAGAACAGAAACTATCTGGCTGAAACTTGCACATTACATGCTCTTCTAGCTATAATTAAAATAATCTGCACTTCACTTGATTTCCATCACTCGTATGTGCACACGCCTTCACTGGATTTTTTTCCACAGCTGAAAATTAGTGAAATAAGCTGGTCGTCCTTCATGTTAAGGTTTATCCGAGTCTGTACAAGGCAAACGGGAGGCAGAGCTCGGGCCGTGGGCGTGGCCCCCCAGCCCTGAGGTGCCCGCATGACCCAGGAAGCGATACGGCTTATGCGCTGTTCACGCTGCCACAATTTTACCATACGATTCCTGTCCCCTACTTGCAAACTCTTCTTGAATTCTATTTTTTTATCTAATCCTTGACCTCAGCCGACTAGAGATGAGGTTGAACCTACCCCTTGCCCTCCGGCTCCCGTCTCTCCCTTGCAGGCTTGCTATCGGTAATTGTACAGTGAGTTTGACTAAAACCCCGATCTTTGGAGCACTCTGTGACCCTTCTGGCACAGCTTCTTCTTCAACATCTGAGGTGTGAGTTCGTTTCTGCTGGCTGTTACCACAAACTGGGTAGCCCTGTAGGAAAACAGTGAGAGAAAGGTGCGGAGGAGGGGAGAGGGAAACGAGCAGAGTTAAAAAACAGTGAAGGTGGGGCTCGAGAGAAAAATACTTCGTGGGGAGTGAAATGACAGAGCTAGATTCTCGATCTCACCTAGGTTTCTCGTTCACTCATCGTCTTACAGCTCCCACCATGTGCTTTCCTTTCCGTCCTTTCCATGAACTGGCTTTCACCTGCGAAGAGAAACGTCTGGCACCTCTGGTGTCACCGTCTGCCATGGC